GCTCTCGGGGCTGCGCTGCCGCCGGAGCCGAGGTCCCCAGGTTTTTCGGGCGAGGGCTGCTGCCTCTGCCCCGCTGGGTCTTCTCCTCCGCTCTTCTTTTTCCCGGCGCTGCGCGGCTTTTACTCTTTGCTGCTTCTCTGGGCGAGTTTAATGGCGGATCTGGGGCCAGTCGTCGACTGCTGGGGCCCCAGGGCAACTTCTCGAGGCAGTTGTCGGCCCAGAGGTGACGCACGCCGCCCGTTACCTCGGAAATGGTGCTTGGAGTGGCAGAGATGACGCTGGGTGGGCAAACTTAGGAGGGAGTACAAATCCCTTGTCGTCGAGGCAACGTTTACCCGTCCCTCTGCCTTCGTGGGAGCAGGCCTCGGGTCCCCAGCCCACGCCATCCCAGTCCTGCAGGTGGACGAAGCAGTTTTAGCTTTGTCTCGTTGCGGTTCCTGTAGTTCTTTTTTTCAACTTAATTTCTGGGTCACATTAGGGCGAGGGAGGGTCTCCGAGCCCAGGAACTCCTTGGCCTCTCACCCCGTTGCCACCTCCCGGTGTTGAGTTGGTTGTGCATACAGGTTGATTGTACAGAAATTGGTTTTCATTTCTCATTCCAGGACCAGGAATCACCTTCGAGCCTATGTCGTGAGGCTTTGGCAGAAATTGAGAAGGAAATATCTCCATTGTGAGTTTGATTTGTTTTGTTTTGTTTTTTACCTCGCTTTGCTGTCTCATATAATTAGTGCAGTAGTAGGGTGTTCTTCCTGAGGGGTTTACCTTTGTGTTATCTTGAAGGCCTTGGCCTTCAAGTTAATTGCTTGGGTGCTCCTGTCCCCAGAGCCAAGCCATGGTAGTCCCTGGGAAGGCACGGGAAGTGCTGGCATTTATACCACTGGAACTCAAGTTCGAGAACAAGTTAGCTCTTTTAAGTGCCTTGCATTTTACAATTTTTTCTTTTCCAATAGATTGGAAAAACTTTTTTACTGTTGGATTAAAAAGAAACACTACTCAATAATCTGTTGTTTTGACGTTGATGTTTGCCTAGTATTTGAGGAAGACTGTTATTTATGTACCCTGACAGTCCTCCAGCTAGCATCACATGAGGAGATAACATAAACTAGTTGTCACACTGTTCCTAATTCTAAGATTGACCACCGAATCTGAGTGGCCTAATCGCTCTCTGTTAGGAAGTTAATGTTTGTTTTTGTTTTTTCGGGGTTTTCTTTGCTACTAGACAGTGATTTATGTGTTCATTTTGGTACAGTACAAATGCCCTTTCTCTGTCAGCTGTTCACTTAATGCTTTTAACACCAATCCTTGTGTGAATAATTTTATTAGGAGTGAAAATGATTTTCTTTAACAAGCTTTACTTCTACTTTTATTATCTGGGATTCAGTTCTTGCCAATTCTGTCCTTTCAACCTTGATCAGTTTTCTGTTGCTCATCAAAAACAAACTTGTGATTAATTTGTCCCCCATAGTAGTAGTCCTGCCTTCGTTTTACCCTTGTTGCTTTCTACTAACTTATTTGCTCTTATTTTCTTACATTTCACAGCACATCTCTTAATTAGTTAAACTTAGGACTGTGTCAGGATGTGGTGGGTAGGTAAAGTGGCTGGGCACAGTGGCTCATGCCTGTTTTCCAACCACTTTGGGAGGCTGAGATGGGCGGATAGCTCGAGAGCTTGAGCCCAGGAGTTTGAGTGTGGACAACATGGCAAAACTCTGTCTCTACAAAAAAATATAAAAATTAGCTTAGTGTGGTGGCACACGCCTGTAGTCCCAGCTACTCAGAAAGCTGAAGTGGGAGGATCGCTTGAGTTCAGGAGGTTGAGGCTGCAGTGAGCAGTGATCACAGCACTATACTCCAGCCTGAGCAACAGATAGAGACTCTGTCTCAAAAAAATCAGTAAAGTGGCTCTGGGCACTGTGACTCACTCCTGTAATCCCAGCCCTCTGACAGGCCAAGGTGGGAGGATTGTTTGAGCCCAGGGGGTCAAGTCTGCAGTGAACTGTGTTTGTGCCATAGCATTCCATGCTAGGCGACAGAGCTAGACCCTGTCTTAAGAAAAAAAAAAAGCCTGGTCCATGAGGTTTGAGACACCCACACACGCACGCACACAAACGTGTATAGTTAGTGGGAGATATAATTCTTCCGCC